TGGCCTTACATCACTCCCTCTCCTTTGGGGAGTCTAAAACTGACTGATCATCCTGGACCTCTGGCCAATGTAATTTGGGGTAAGTTTCTATGTTTGGGGTGAAAAGGGAAGAAATACTTCTCTGATAAATTGATTTTTAAAAGGCATATGTTTGAAGATGCTTAGATGTTCGGAACATGAGACTAAGACCTGGGGAGATGGATTAGTAGGCAAAATGCAGGTACAGCAAAGTAAATAAAACTATCACATGGCTATGCATATATATAAATACATTTCACTTGTATGTTAACTGCCTTATATATGAGATTTTTGCTTACTTTACATACATTATAATAGCAATAATATGGAAGAGATTATTTGTTATTAATATAGATGTCATGAGCATTTCCATAGGAGTTCAGCATGGATTAATGTGAGGAAGCATTTAAATGCTTTATCCCTTAGACCAAGAATTTTAGATGTCCTACATATAGAATAAGTTAGTATTTCAAAGGTTAAAAAGAACAATGGGACAAATTCTGCAGCCCCTACTTGGGTCATAATCCCACTCCCATTGAGGAAGATGGCAAAACTCTCATTCAATTCAATCCTACTTTCATTGACCATCAGTCATAACTCAGACTAAACTCTCATTGACCTCAATGGGAGTTTTGTCTGAGTAAAGACTAAAGGATTTGCCACAGAGACAATATATTATCTAAAAGTTTACAGTTGTCACTTGTACTGTCTGAACCCTGGTTTTCAGAAGTGATAATAATCTGCTGCTAAAGAAAAATGCCTTACATGCTATAGGGCATTATCTGCAGGAGAAAAGAACCATTTCTAGTAAAACCAGACTGACATCAGTTCATGTAATCTTGGGGATGGGGGAGGAGGAATTACAAATGATGGTCACTGATGGGTTTCTGTTGCATACATATACAAGTAGAGTGAAGCCTCCCCCCCTTAAAAAAAGTTTTGAGAAAACTATAGTAAAAACATAAACCAAGTTGTACATACAAAAATACACCATCACAAAACATTTGAGACTTCATTAATTACCCGGGTCTAGGAAAGAACACCTTAGCATGAGTAAGAGGGGAAGCCAAAGGGTAACCAGTGTCAGCTCTTTAAGTTTGGGCGCAGTTCTATGCGGAGGTGTAGCTCGTGTAGATAAAAGCAGCCTAGGGGTTCTTTCTGTGAAGGTTTTTCAGGGTTTTTATTGGTGAAGGAAGAGGGAACAATAACACTTTTTCATCCAAACCCCCTTCTTGATCCCCTTCCTGCACTCAGATCATGAAACTTACAATGGGGATTCTGTACAGAAAGAGTGACACCTTTTCAGAAGCATCTCACTTCCTCTCAGTTCCTGCGGCTGGGAACTGCTGGATGTCTGAATCTTCTGCTGACAGAAGCAGAAATGATATGGCTCACTGGGAGGGCAATCTGGCTGCAGAGGCTTTCCTGGCTGTTGCAGTGGCTTGTAAGTTCTTCTTTATGGGCAGTTAGTTCTATGTATTTTTTTTTGCATATTCCTTAACTTTTGTAAAAAGACCTCCAAGTCTCACCACTGGCTCTCTCTTCTGCACCACATCAAATACAGCTTCTGGTTCTTACCTTTAAGGCCTTTCACAATTTAGCTCTGCCCAACTTATCCATTCTTATATCTTATCACACTCTTCCTGTCCCTTCTACTCAACCAATATTGCCAGCTTCCATTGCTCATTTTTTTCACAAGCACCTCCATGCTTTTCCTCCATGCTGCTTTTTATGCACAGAACACCATAAAATCATAGGACTGGAAGGGACCTTGAGAGGTCATCTAGTCCAGTCCCCTGCACTCATTTCCATTTAGGCCACAAATCTGCCCACTTTCAAATACTTTGAGACCTATTTTACTGTAATGCCTATAGAAAACTGCTAATTTATAACTGGTAAGTGAATGGACAGTAGAAGACTTATACAAAAAAGATACAATATTGTATCTTAAATTTACTGTTTAAAATTAGTTTATTCAAAACCCCCTAGCTGTGCGTATATCTGGCCTAAGAACCTGAGTTTATGTATTAATGTTTCTCTTGTCTCACTTGCTTCAAATTGATTTTTACAATCACTTCTGTCTTTTAAATAGATAATAAGTTTTTGGGAAAAGGGACCATCTTTTACTTTGTGTTTTTACAATATACAAACAGGTGATTGGACTAAATACAAGGACAACACGGTGAAATTCTACAGGAGGTCAGACTAGATGATCTAATAGTATGATCTGGCCTTAAAAATCTATGAATACGTAGCATGGTGTGGCCCCAATTCTGAGTGGTGCCTCTAGATACTACCATAATAAAAATAACAGCAAGTATTTGAAAACTCGTACTAGAAAAACTATTTCAGTAATTTATCTATCATCTTTAGGGACTTTTGTGGAGATTGTTTTTAAAAAGTGTGCGGTGAGCAAAGCAACACAAAAATATGGAATATATGTGGTTTTGCAGTTAATTTAATTCCTTTTTAAAAATCTGCCTGCACATGCAAGTCCTCCAATTTCCCATCCTCTTGGGATGAAACAAGTCACAGATGTATAGAATAGCTGGCAATTTAATAATTTATAAATTTAAGCTCAAGTACACAGGAAATTAGTAGTATAAAAGATTAATTGTTAGTAAGCGTGCAAGGGGTAATGCAAACAAGATCATTTAGAGACAGATCATAGTGCTCTGAGCAAAGGGCTCCTCCCAACTTTCAGTCACAGAAAGAGGCATTCTCATATATGGGCTGCAGTCACAACTGTAGGGTGAACGAGCACTGGACAAAATCCACTGCTTCTCTGTTATGCAGCTTTGTGGATTAGTGGATCCAACCTGTGCAGGAACTCACTGGCTTTTCCCAAACCATAGCCCCAACAAATCCACCCTGTACTCCAGAGCAGAGAACTGTTGCAGAGTGCACAGGTGTGTGTGGGCCCACCAACAGAAATGATCACCCACCATGAAGCAAAAACCCAGCTTTCCACTCTGTTTAGGGCCTTGTGCTTCTGCATAAGAGAATATATACACAACATTCAATATATACCTCACAAACTCCAGTTCTGCAAAGCTTTTATGCACATGCTTAAGTCCCATTGACTTAAAAGGGACTACTCACATGCCTAAAATTAAGCATACATACTTTGTGGAATTGAGGCTATTGTTATTAACAGATCTAATTAAATTTGATGGATTACAGAATTCCAAACAATATAGCTGACATTAAAGACATCAAATGGAACCTTCCGATAATAGAAGAGGCAAAAATATAACATTATGTTCTGCTGACATTAGAATTTTTTAATCTATGTGCTGTAGTCTGTCAAACAATAGTTATTGTTTTCAGAACTGGTATCATGATAAGATACAGAAAAAGCATCAGAGTAGAATTGATTGAGGTAGAATCCTGTATAGATTATGTCTATTTAGGGTTGAATACATGAATATGTGTCTGAAATTTTCTCTATCGAGATACCAAGTAAAGTGATACCATCTAGCAACGTGGGTCCTGTTATTTCTAAATTGAAAGATTATTTCCAATATTATGTAACAAAATGCTTCTCTCAGCTAGTCCCTTATTGATAGAGATTTTTGTGACTTTCAGGATTTCATTTTCAAAAATGAAAATGTACAGTTAAGTATACATATTTGCTTGTCTAGTTTGTGTGAGCTGTTACAACTGCATGTTCAAAGTAGGCATTGCACATGCAGGTAGCTAGTTATACATATAAGTGGTCATTTATGCATGTAAATAACTGATTTGTGTGCAGAATACTGGCAATTACTTATGCAAATTACATGCAAGATGGTGTATGAGAGTTTTTGAAAATCAAGTCCTCAGACTAGTAATATGTTCCTTAGACAAATAAGAAGCATAAGCACTAGGGGCTAGCTTCACAGAGGGAGTTAGGCGCAGCGGTGCTCAGACTTGCACCGCCTAAATTGCAGATGTCTAGAAAAATCACAAAGCGTGGGTCAGGTGCTCAGGCTTCCTGTACAATGGGAGTTTGGCACATAAGTCTGGACTGGAGGGAGGCAATTATCTCTGCTTGGAATTCTCAGCGGTGAACCCTCTCTTAGGGCTGGTCTATACTTAGCCGCTAGTTCGGCGGCTGGAAATCGAACTTCCTGGTTCGATTTATCGTGTCTGGTCTGGACACGATAAATCGAACCAGGAAGTGCTCGCTGTCGACTGCGGTACTCCAGCTCAACGAGAGGAGTACCGCGGAGTCGACGGGGAGCCTGCCTGCCGCGTGTGGACCGCGTCTGAACCGCGGTAAGTTCGAAGTAAGGTATGTCGAATTCAGCTACGTTATTCACGTAGCTGAATTTGCGTACCTTACTTCGACTTGGGGGGTAAGTGTAGACCAAGCCTTAGAGTTAGGTGCCTACGGTGTGTCTTGCAAAAAGGGATGGGGAGCTGGATCATAACTTGTAGCCCAGTGGTTAGGGTACTCACCTGAGATGATGAGAGACACTCCCCCATTCAAGTGTCCCCTGGACACTAATTTCTAGGGGCTCTAATTTCAGTTTTGATCAAATTCAGAAACATATGGAATAGTACCTTCTTATTTTAAAACAGAAAGTGGAGTCAGAAGCTGAGCTATACCTGGGCAAAATTCATCCCTGATGTAACCCTATTAACTTCAACAGCATTACACCAGGGATGTATTGGGCCCTCTCAGTTTAATGGGGGTAAGATAAAAGTTACAGGTCATAAAATGAACTAGTTGAAATTTGTGTGTGGGGGTGTGTGTGAATCAATTTCCCACCAATTAGCTGTAGCATTAAGATATATTGTATTTGGTAGAATGAAAAAAATAAAACAGATGGGAAATATGTTTTGGTAAAGAAGTTACACTTTTCATAAAGGTTTCAATCAGGGTGGGGTCAGGGAGTTTAAATCATATGCCTAAAGTTGGCATTATCAACAATCATGTAAGTATTGAAATAAGTTCATATTTTCCCCTTAGCTGAATAAAGTTACTTTTGATAAAGAGGCTTCTTCCATGGCATGAATCCTCATTTGCTTCCAGGATCCAAAGCTTAAAGAAGAAAAAGCCTGAGGTAAGTTACAGTGGCTGGTGCATGGAGATAGTTATTTTAAACTTGTTGCTTGTGCTGGAAGTAAGAATTATGATAGAATAAGACTAGATAGAGGTTTGTTGGCCTGATTCCCCACTGTCTCACACCCTGTCTAGTCATTTACACCTGTGTAATATGAATGCAGAACAGCAACCAAATCAAAATTCTTCATTCACTTTAGTTTACACAAAGTTTGCACAGATGTAAAGGACTACACAGGGGCCGGGCATTGGAAATTCAGTCTTTGCAAGTTTCTGATATGTTGGACTAGTATATGGGTTTGATAGTGGCAGTGGGGAAATTTGTTATAACAGAGTTAACCGGGTTCAATTATGTATTGGATGTCTAAAAAGTAATGGATTATGGGATAAAATGTAGCAGATTGGAGAAAGTTAGTTTGCCTGAGATTAAGCGGGGCATTTTTTGTTCCATGTTTATATTAAGAACAGATATATCTTAAAGAACAAATGTTTTCAATACATACAAACATCTGGATAAAATATTCCTTTAAACCAGGAGTGGCCAGCCTGTGGCTCCGGAGCCACAAGTGGCTCTTCAGAAGCTAATATGCGGCTCCTTGTATAGGCACCGACTCCAGGGCTGGAGCTACAGGTACCAACTTTCCAATGTGCCAGGGGGTGCTCACTGCTCAACCCCTGGCTCTTTCACAGGCCCTGCCCCCACTCCAATCCCTCCTGCCCCTTCCCCTGAGCCTGCTGTGCCCTCGCTCCTCCCGCTCCCTCCCAGAGCCTCCTGCATGCCACAAAACAGCTGATTGGGAGGTGCGGGGAGGGAGGGGGAGGTGCTGATTGGTGGGGCTGCCAGTGGATGGGAGGTGCTAGGAGCGATGGGGTGGGGGGAGCTGATGGAGGGCTGCTGACATATTACTGTGGCTCTTTGGCAATGTACATTGGTAAATTCTGGCTCCTTCTCAGGCTCAGGTTGGCCACCCCTGCTTTAAACAATGCTTAGGCAAGCTATGACACTAAAGAGGAGGTTGTAGCTAATTAAACCTGGTGAAGCAGTTAGTGTAAAGTTAGGTAATGTATCTTATTTAAACTGATTGGGATGAGAGCTCTAGGGTATTTCACAGTAGTGGAATATTTTAAAAAGAGGAACGATATTTTTTATGGGGTAAAAATTACGAGTAAAAGTTTTCTGATTTGTTTAAATTTACCTTGTAACCAGATACTTGGCTGCAATGTATTCTTTTTATGTTGCAATTTGGACACTGCATTGGAATTCAGCCAAATATCACCTACAATGCAGCACTTGTTTATAATCGAGGATCTGCTAGGATTACAGTTGTGAAAATGTGAGAAATCTTTTGTGAGCACAGAGGGGCGTTTCCCTGGCCCATACTTGGCCTCTGTGCACACCTTTGTCTTTTTCTCAACCTCACCCACATTGCACTATGCACACACATAAATCTTCAGCTTTTTAACAGCAGGTATACAATGCAAACCTTGGGTTCTGCTGAACATACCACATCTCCAAGATAATGTGTTTGTTGTAAACATTTTAGTTGTGAGGTAAGTCATTTTTGAGATTTTTTTGTTTGTTTTGTGCCATGTACTATTTTTAACTCTATTTTGTTATGTACACTTACGGTGGATAAAATTGTATGTATGTGTGAGAGCCAAAGAGGAGGACTGCCCTTTGGGTGGAGACCTTGATATTACATCTTTGTAATGTAGGGAGTTGCCATTTTAGATTTCTCTTGTAGGGTCAGGACACTTAAAGGAGTAAAGAAGTGATTTAAGTTCCTGTGAGGAACAGAATTATCTACTTACATTATACAGTAAGTACAAACCCTTTTAAAAAAGCTTCTATATAAACTTGTTTTGTACAACTAGAGAGGTTCAGGCAGAGGCATTTCTTTCTAGTAATGCTTCTAAATTCTTTGTTTTGCTACTTAACTGGAAAAAATCTTTTAAATGCTGGGAGGAAGGAAGTACCTTGGATGGATGATGCAAAGAGGAGTAAACACTGCATCCTCTTTAAAGGTGATGTAGCGGCTATTGTCCTCTGGTGGCATTGTGATCTTACTGGTGGTGGTACTTCTCCATATTTCTCCTAACCTGTGGCTATATGCTGCCACAATTAATTTATTCTTACATGTTCTATTTTTAGTGGTTTAGTAGTATATGTGAATTAAAACAAAATAAATTCAGAAATAGGAAACTTTAGAAAATAGGAATTGCCATACCAGACCAGTCCAATTCAACGATCCATCCTCTCTGACCGTGGCCACAACTAGATGTTTTAGAATAAGGTACAGGAAATCCTATAGTGGACAATTATGGAATAAACTTCCCAAAAGGGAAGTTTTTTCCTAGCTATCTCTGGTAGTGGTTGGTTTGTGTCCTGAAGTAGAAGAATTTATATCCCTTATAAAAAAAATTATCCTCTGTAATCCATATGTAACTAATACTTTTTTGAATGTTATTAAACTCTCAGCTTCTAATTTACTTTTACAATCAGACAAAATAGAAAACAAACAACAAACAAGAATTGTGAGACAGTAAGTTTCACATACTAGTGAATTGCAAAAATGGGGCCCAATCCTGCAGCAAAACTTAATTTGACTTCAGAATCATGACTGGCTTTATTATGGGCACTGGAATTTATAAAGCAACAGAGTTTAATTAGATATCAATGTAGGTAATAATGTAGATTTTCTAAAAGCATTAAGCACTGTAAATCCTGAATTACTACATTCTCTTCCAGGTGGAATTCCTCTGCAGAACTATTTTTCAATGTTTTCATTATTCAAACAAGTCTTAAGGTGTATCTGCTTTATCAGTAGCACTATCCCATAAAGGTTTATGGAATTTGACTCTATGTATGAATGTTTGCCATTAGTTTTAAAATTGAGTTTACATATAGTATAACAGAATATTTCTATCTACAGTAGACAAAGTTAGTTATTTACTCAGGCAAAATACAATAGGATTAAAATGCTAAATTTAAATTTTTGTCTTTAGGTGCTGTTTTAGAAAACTAGCCTCTAACCAAGAATAAAAATTGTTGTCAGAATAATATGCGAACAGGTAATTTCTTGTAAGTTTATTTTTACTCAGATGTTTATTTATAGTTCACTATAGTTGCACTGATTACAACAGCTGGTGCTGGATTGTTGTGGCTTCTCCTGAGAGCCAACTCTACTCCTGGGGCAACGGACCAGAGGTTTCAACTTTTGTAAGGAGGGATTGCATTGGCCAATCTTAATACCTCTCAGAAGTTCTGGGATTGGCTGGCATATGGCCCAGGACTACTTATAAAAGGAGGCAGGACAAAGCAGATCCTTTCTAATCTGCCACCTGACCGTTTTGAGTTCTTTTTCTTTTTTATTCACATGATTGCAACTTTAGGGCAATGTTTGCTGGGTAAAGAGTAATTAGTTTAGCCTCTGGATTGGGGACAAATATATGTGTGGGGAGGAGGTTTCTATGGGGTTAGGTGGTGTTGAGGATTCCCCCCCCCCAACACATAGGGCACTCTGGACCAAATTTTCAAATGGGTACAGATAGAAGTGTGCATACAATTTACCATGTGTCTGACCAGAATATGCACACACAGGGCCCAGTGCATGAGCACAAGGCTATTTGGATATGTGCACATGCATACACCTGTGTGTGCATATAAAGTGTTGAATATGCCAATTTGAAAATGTAGGTCTTAGTTATATGAGTAAGTCTTAGTTATATGAGTACTTAGAGGCTACTATTGCCTCTTCCACTTTGAACCACTGCTGTGTTAGGGCTGCAAGAATTAATTTTGCTTAATTTTGGTTCAATAAAGTTGCAACTGTTTGACCACTTTCTAAATAAAATGTGTTGGCCCCCTCCTTTATTTTCTGTCCCCAGCAAGTAAAGCAATATATCAAAATACAAATATACATGACATAGAATATCCATAATATGTTGGTGCCATTTCTACAGTGGTATTAATTGGAAAAGTTGATGACAATAGCCAATTATTTATTTATAATCTAGATTGATATTGATAATGTTTCCCTCTCATCAACATTTATCTTGTATGACCTTTCTGTCTTGGTAATACTAATCTAACTGTAGAATACATTTGACTCTCTAAGTTTATCATTTGAATTTTTAGATTAAAACAGTTTATTAACTTCACTTGTAAAAAGGCACAGCAAGGTCTTTCAAAATAAAACACAATCTTTCCTAACAACAGATTTAATAAAATCAGAATAAAAATAGAGATAGCAATTCGGGTTAGATGAGTTTATTTTGTCAGCAAAGTATAGTACTAGCTAGATGAACTGGTTATTAAAACAGTTTATCTCCGTAGAAAGTGTCAAGCTATACTCCACCCTCTCTGATGCTAATGTATCTGGGTTCCTACCTGTATTAGAACCCCTTCTGACACTCATATAATACTTGTATTACAGTCTTCCAAATCACTAACTGTAAACTTAAAGGGGCAAATTTTGGCCCTGTATGCTCAAACTTGACTCCTATTGTCACTGGTGAGAGCTGTGCATGCCTAAGGGCAGAATTTGGTCAAAATTATCTAATGAGGTGACCATGAATTGTGACATTGATTGCAATAATTTCTCTTGATATTATAGCATCTTGTATTTTATTTTATTCTTTCATTTATTCAAAATGTTAGGCCACTTTACAGTGTCACTTTTAATAAACAGCAGCAAAATACTATTTGCTCAGATCAGAGTGACTGAAAAATACAAATGGATTGATGATGAGATACTTGACCCACATGAGTGTAAAGGTATTCTCTAAATAGCCTGCTTATTGGCAGTTACTTTAAACAAATGAAGGATACATTTTTTTCCCTTCTTTGTTACAAGAAGTAGTGGCTCTGGAAAGTGGCAGTATATCCAGGAATTAAGTCTGTGATGAGATTCTCTGAAGAACTGGTTTTGTTGATGTTACTGTACTCTCAAGAATGACAATATTCATTATTGTAATTTACACCCACACCCACAGAGCATTATACTCAAATTATTCAAATGGATTATTTTGACACACACACTCTCTCTCTCTCTCTCTCTCTACATGTCTCTCCCACTCCAGAGTTCCTGAGGCATTTTGCCATGGAGTGGAGGCATATCTAGTGGGACTGCAGAGAGGGCAGATGTTCTGTGTTCTACAAGAATATCCTGCAGATCTCAGAACATTTGGGAGGTTGGCTGGGGCATCAACTACTCCTAGGTCCTCCTCCCCCATGGCAGCATGGCTCTTGAGTGAGCTACAGCCTTTGCCCTACTCTTACTTACAGAGGAATAAAAGACCATTCGCTGGGCAGGACTCTAGGGAAGTTAACAAGGATCTCATTAACTCTCATGAAAATTTTCCTGAGGGCATGCCAAGAGATGCTGCTGCATAAACTTAATTTCTCTTGGCCCTGCCTTCCTTCAGCTGGCTATCTCAGCTTGTAGAGTCTCAGCAGCACTGTATTCCCTCACATGGGCATCCATAAGCTTGGGGAAGTTGGAGAGGGGTGGGAGATTTTCTACTTTAGCTTCTCCCCCTTCCCTCCAGCAGTTTCAGAGACAATAGAGTAGGATTTCTACTTTTTTCATCCCCTCCTTTCATTCAGGAGATGACATGACCCCAAATCTGGTTACACTGACATCTGCCATGGAGATAATAAAACATATTTAATTTATTTACAGCTTCTGTTCAAAAAGACTTGTTAATAAATTTTCTCTTTAGCTGTTTTCTCCCTGTCCCCCACACCATAGTAAATGCTCTGTACACACAAGTGTAATACTTGAAAAGTTCTCAATAGTAAGTTTGCAGTAAACAAATTGTCAATGTGTATTATAAGTATAGAAATCATCCTGGTTAAAAGTGAAATAGTATTTTATTTTTGACCTTAGTGTGAACGTATAGAGTTAAGTTGTGCCTGGTCTTATGCAGATGCACAAGGATGGAGAGGGCACAAAGAGCTTTCTACCCTCCTGATAATTTGCACTGGGTCTGTGCACAGTTCTGATTCTTGCACTCTGAGTACATGGAGATGGGGGTTGTAATCCTGGCTCTGTTGAAGTCCACAGCAAAACACCCATTGACTTTGAAATCCTAGCCACATTTAATCCAATGGGAATTTTGCCATTGAGTTAAACACGGCCAGGATTTCACCCAGGGTCTCCACTGCCAATTACATCACTATATAACCCACAGAGGACAGTGAGAGGGCAGAATTAGTAGTGCCAGCCCAGTGCACTGTATGGGTATGGTGCATACTGCATGGGTGTAGGTATAGTGCATACTACAAGCAATGGCCAAACTCTCCTGGTGCTTCTGAAAGCATTGTGCCCACTTAGACTGCAATGCCTCTGGGAACGCTCCCTGTTGTGGGATGTTTTAACACTACTTGCTAGTGCGGACTGTTGTTCACAGCCACAGTTTTGCCCCAGGGGAGTTACAAGTAAGCTACATTGGTTATTCCAAAAGAGTAACTATGAAAATGAAAATCAAATACCTTTTTCCATCAAAGTATATTTTGTATGCACTGCTGAAGGCACATTTTGCCATATGCGAACAGTAGGCATTCTGCAGTCTCATTTTCAGATATGGCTAGAAATAACAGTGAAAATAATCACACCAAAAGTGTGAGATAACACACGATTCTCAGGTTTGTGATGTCACAGGCCTGTTCTATTCCTGTTTGAAAGAAAATGCTTGGGTTTAATAAGTGAGATTAATGAAATAAATTCTCCCCCACCCCCACATATATACGGCTATATACTCACTTGCATATACCACCCACCCACCTACCCCAGTTTTAAAAACATGGACTTCTTACTAGGATGTCCAAATCCTGGATTTGGATGCCCAGATTGGCATTTAGGTACATAAAATGGACAATTACTTCTCTAAATGCCAATCTGAGCATCCAAATACTGGATCTGGATAGTTTATTAAGGAGCCTACATTGAAAATTCGTGTATAAAATCAATCATGAAAAATGTACTCTTTTGAAATTACATTATAAGAAACACATGTAATTGTTTGGAGTAATCTTATATTGCAGTTTCTCCACACAAGTATTAATGAACTAGCTCCTCAGATGTGCCAGACTGGTGCTTGGTGCAGCTGGGTGAACCAAAATTGGCTGGAGTCAGCAGGGGGGTCAATTTTCACTGAAGGTTGGAGCAGCCTAAAGGCCCAAGGGGCCATTCACTGCCAGGGACAGTTAGACTGCAGCAGCGCTTAGGCCATCCTCCACTTTCCCTGGCCCCACTCCTAGGCTGGGAGGAGGGGGAGTATAGGATTGGCTATACTGCCTCCACATCTGTGGATTCCTGTATGCTGCAGGAATCCCCATATAGCTGGTTTTAAAGCTGCTTTGCACCACTAGAGCAGTGCAAAGCAGTCTTGATAAGGTCTAGCATCTGGCCCAGCATATTCATTATGCTCCCCAAATGTGAAAGCCATGAGGAAGATTTCAAAGCTCTGTCACTCCTTACTAATGGAACTGCTCCCACTTCCTCAAACTTTAAGCCTGCCTTCTGATTTGCTGGTACATTTGCTATATATTTTGTAAAATAAACTTTAGTACTTGTATCCACAGTTACAATCACTGATTTTATTAGATACCTGGTGGTACATACTGATGTGTTGGAGAGTAAAACTGTCCTTTATTAGCTTCTAGTGTTTTTAAGCCAGTTGTATCTTTTTTGTTATAATTTAAAGAAAACAACAAAACAAAACCCAAACCACCACATGATATAATTTTTTCACATCTTGATTCCTCCTGAGTAAAAGTATAACAAATCTCTCTCTTTGTATCTGTTCTTTTCAGATCATGAAGAACTCTGTGGCACCAGTTATGGACCTTTTTGCCTAAATGGCGGGATTTGTTATATGATCCCTACTGTATCCAGTCCATTTTGCAGGTGAGTGAAATTTAAGCTTGTGTGTTCACACATTGGATTTAGCTATTGGAAGGACGGATACTGTTCTAGTTTAACAATATTTCTTTAAAGAAATATAGCATGGTAGGTGAAAATGTGTATTTGTCCCTGGCTGTTGTAAACATGTTTGTATCTGCAAATTCAGCAGTTCTTGATCATGTGGTTTAATGTTAATGTTTCTGTCTGGTTCATAGAAAGGGTAATGTTTTCAAAACTTGTGCATGCTTGGGGGAAAAAAAATTGGTGGATGAGGCAATACCCATTTATGTATTCAGAATTCAGATTGGTATGTATAATTTAGAGCTTTATACTCCCCTCTTCTTATGCAGTACAGAATGAGAAAAATGCCCTTAATCTCACAGAGAAGAGACTGGAGGAAGGGCATACAGAGAGGCAATAATAGAAACAAGTATATTCCCTCCTCTCCTACACATTATATAGCAAAGTGTTATAATATAAAAAGGATGTGGCTTGAGCAAAATGGGGAGGAGTCAAGAAAGACAGCATATTTACTTCAGGGAGGGGGGGAAATGTAATGGAGGCCAAAAGCATAAGTGAAGGCTGTTTGTGCTCTATGAACCCAATTGAAAGAATCACAAAGCACAGCTTCAGGGGACAGCTAAAAAAGCCATTTGACAAAAAAGCAGCATAGTAGCTGTAGAATCGTAGGGTTGGAAGAGACCTCAGGAGGGCATCTAGTCCAATCCCCTGCTCAAAGCAGGACCAACACCAACTAAATCATCCCAGCCAGGGCTTTGTCAAGCCGGGTCTTAAAAACCTCTAAGGATGGAGATTCCACCACCTCCTTAGGTAACTCATTCCAGTGCTTTACCACCCTCCTAGTGAAATAGTGTTTCCTAATATCCAACCTGTGTATGCTATGCTCATATGACAGAGGTTTATAGTGCTTGGGAAAGCTAATACGTGACCTCCAGGAGGGGAGCATGTAACAGAATGTGGAAAGACATAACACTGCCTATCTTTGCAGATAAGATCTCCCAGTCCACATGTAAAAACAGCTGCTATCTATTTGCCAAATCACCCATCAGAGACACAAGAAGAAAAGGTTACCCAGTATATTATCTTAGGTCTGCTTTTACTAATTTTAAACTAGTCTTCATTTGAGATAAGTGAGCTGGTTAACTTAAATGGTTCAATTGACAAGCTGGCACTTACACTGAAAGCTTATGTTTATGGATGTTAGAATGTTAGGGCTCTCTTTCTCTCACGCTTGGTGACTTCTGTTTCCCATTCCCTGGTGGCTTCTTTCAGCCTTCAGATATAACTAGGAGTAATGGGTTGAAATATGTAGGAAGAAAAAAAAACCAGGAAAACTTCTAATGGTGAGATCTGTTAAACTGAATAATCTACTTTGAACATTCCAATCTAAAATAGACAAAATCCTGCAGATTAGACTGCAGGGAACAATCCTGCATTGTTTTTAAAGGGATAATTATATGATCTCATAAATGTTTTCCATTTCTTACTGTTATATTTTCTAGCCCCAGTAGATATGCATATATTAACTATTTCTTCTGAAATGATCAGCAGTGGAATAGTTAATAAAGTTGACATTTAAATGAGCATAATTAGGCTTCAGAATTAACTTCTACTGAAATAGGTCAATCCACCTTTCGGCTATTGTTAAAGAGGTCAATAGATTCAGCAAAACAGTGCTGCTAATTGTCACATTTGAAAGGTTTCAGCCATAAGGGTTAGAAACTTAATTTATTTTAAATGAAAACCTAAATTCTTCTGAAATTTACAGACCCACCAGAGAACTACTAAACCATGGTTATGGCTCATTCTGTCTCTCTTCTAGCCCTGTTAGTAATTGGTTCCTGAATTTTCAAAGCCTTGCATGAGATTTTAGCCATATAATTCAAATCAATGGAAAATGCATAGCTAAAACTCTCCCTCACACTTTGAAAATTTAGGGATGTTACCCGCTGTATGTAGAAGTCTTGTAACTTAAAATTAAATTAAAACATCAAATACTTCGACACAGCCCATCATAACAGAGAATTTTCACAATTGTTAATTGATACATTTTATAGAAAAAAGCAAGAACACAGGGTAACACACACGTTGTGGAAAATTCTTTAACAGGATTTCAGTAATTATTAAATCTTTAATTTTCTAATTTATATGAAGTTAGCCTTTGTACCCTATTTATTTCCAAAGATCTTAATGTGCTATCAATTAATTTATTGTTACAGTGTTGTAGATTTCTTGGTCCCAAGATACTAGAGAGACAAGGTGGGTAAAGTAATATCTTTTATTAGGCCACTTCTGTTGGTGAAAGAGACAAGCGTTCGAGCTACAAAGAGCCTGACCTGAAGAAGAGCTCCGTGTAGCTCCAAAGCTTGCCTCTTTCACCAACAGAAGTTGGTCCAATAAAAGATTAATTTGTGATTTTTAAAAAGTGCCTGTGTGTACATTAAAAAATTACCAATTTTTTCAAATACATACATCCATTCAAATTAATCAAAATCAACACCTTAATCTCCCCATTACTCATTGAATTAAGCCTCACAGTTTTCTTGTGAGATAGGTAATAAATATTCTAACTTTACAGATGGATAAATTGAGAATGATTAGTAGTGTGTTCAAGGGTGCCCTCAGAGTCTTTTGAGATTCTACTACCAAATTGAAGATTGGGTGGAAGTAATTTCCCTACCTGTAGTGGACAGTGTTAAAATTTAATACTAACTGGCTAAGCTTTGCCAGAGATTACTTATCCTTGAGGCCGAAAACAAAGAAACAGACAAACAAAAACCTTCTGAAGTGCATATTTTTGCCTTTGGAATGCACTAGATTATACCACATCACAGCTATATTCAGCCAATGTCTCTGGGAAGGATGCAGCCAAAACCCTGTAATAAGTCTTCACACAATCAATCCCCAGTTCTATTTCAGATTACACAAATTGAGCACTGTGCTATATTGTCAGTAACTCAAGACCTAGTGCTGGAACCCTTACTCACACAGTACTTGACGTAAGTGGGGCTACTCATGTGAGTAAGCACAATTGTGACCTTAGTATATTTTTCTTGGAACAAAAAAGTACAAACATTTCTAGTGAAATGCACACGGTACAAACATGACACATTCTGTCACCTCTCTTCTTGGTTATGGTTATGACAAAGGGCCTTTGTTCATTTGCTTTTTGCTCTTCCATTTGAATACACTATCCACTCCCTCATCCTTCTTCTCTGCAAGCACATGCACCCCTGGCTGGCCCTGGTACATGCGTTTATCACACGCTAAGGGAGAATATTTTTGCAGGAAACTCTTGTTAAAATATTCACTGTGCATCACTGAGATTTATCCTTGAGGATAATTGTCCAGCATCATTCAGTGAATCAAATGAAGAGATAAGAATAGAATGTAGGAGTCCTGATTTCCAGGTCACTTATTCTAGCTACTAGGCCACACTAACTCACATTATATAATTTAAATTAATGCAGAAAAATTGAAAATAAAAGTCTGTCAAGAAAAATCCTTATTTTTGGTTAACTAGAAAGAAACCCTCCTTTCCAGCATTTTAGTAGCAATAATAAGTAGGGGAAAAGTGGAACGTTAAAATTAGATGGTGTCGGTTATACAACTTCAGATACAGTTTCAAAGCATTCTGTCTTAGGAATTGCCTAACCACAATATATAGTGAAGGAGGTGTATCTAATGTGATAACTGTATATTTGGAGTAACAGACTTCTTGAACAATTAATTCTTTAGCAGTGCACGCTTGTAAGCATAGGTGATTTCCACTTTAAAAGGGTTCCAAATGAAATCTTATGTAAATCAGGTACTGACTGGCACTAGGATATTTTGCAGCCTGGAAAGGCAAAAAGCTAACTTCTTTAGAGTATCTCTGTTGTACTCTAGCACTCAAAACTTATTTCTTCACTACCCCATTTTGACTTTGAAGTATTTTTCCTGTGTATCTAATTGCTGCTTATCAAGTTATATGAATTTAAATAGAAGCATTCTGTTTAAGCATATTCTCATTCCAAGCATGTTCCTTAATCAGTCAGAGAAGAAGGCTAATTATAAATGAGAAAGGTTCTGTTTACACACAGATATCTGAGTAATCAGCAGTGATGTGAATAGAAATAACAGGAAAAAAGTGCATCACTGTGCAGTGGAATTAACAAAAATATTTGATTCTTTAAAACTTCCTTAAGACTGACATCACCAAGCAAGTGATCAAATGTTGTGTTTCTTAGTCTTGCCTAGCTCCTCAAAGTAGCAGGGACCTGGCGCCACCCTATAGCATAGCCTCCAAGTTGCTCTTATATGACTAACTGTGGCCAATGCAAAGAATGACTAGAGTTTAGGGCTTCAGAACCACATTCTCCAGGCCAAAGAATGAATCACTGACATGGCACCATTGATTGCAAAGGATTAAGGAAACAAAAATGTTTGTTTTAAAAGGACCTGAAAACTGTTTTAAAAGTGCTTAAAATACATCAGTGTAAATAGATAGCACATTATGATAAATGCCATGTTGCAAGCAGGGTTTATGCAGGATACATGATGCAATATAGTCTGTTGTAACTCTGCGAACTATGATCTGTGTCTAAAGTAGAATTGCATCATCCTTTAAAATAAATATGCCTCTTTTATAGAGGATATAGAAGCTGATAGTTACTGTTTGCTTTTAGATATTTCACAGCTACTTTCACTTGGCAGAAGTGGATATTTGTATATAGTTGAAATAGGATAGCATAAAAACTTTCTCTGCACAGCATAACATTTTCTGATTCTAAATGCACCTGGCATATGTTAATATATTGTGAGCTGCCATCTTCACTTTGTGCCATTTCTAATACTGGCTTAATTTCCTCAGCAGCCAAAGGTGCACCTGTCGCCATACACAGGTTGAGATTCAACACTGAAGTATCCAATTTAAAATATATATATAAGTAACAAACACACAGAACATAATGTGAAATCCAAATGCCTCAGGTGTGTTGTAA